CGCCCCCTGGTGGGCTGAGCTGGCCACACACACACACACAATAAATAAATGTAATAAATAAAAATAAATAAATAAATAAATTACTTTAAAAAAAAATCACTGTTTGTCAATAAAATCTTCCATCTACAACCAAGTAGGAGCAACTAAGCACTTACTGTCTATCAAGGGACAACTGTCTTATATCCCTGAACATCTGGAAAGCAGGAAACAAAATCAGCAGCAATAAAGTGAATAAGGAACTTGCAAAGACACTATGTACCTTGAGGGTCATGAATCAAGTGAATAGCCGAAAAGTTAAACACCTCAGGCTTTTTCCTCTTCTTTTGTTTCTGAAAGAGAAAAAAATACTTTCTACTCTGAAGTACAGTGATGTGCTAAAGTGAGAAAGGCTATCATCAAGCCAATTAAGCTACTTAAAAAGAAAAAATCATTCACCTAAAAACTTCAATGAGAACTAAAGATGGTTTTACTTTTAAGATTAAATCTTAAGAGTGCTCTAACCATTAGCACCTGAGATTTAGAAGACTTTAGAAATACAAGCATTAAAAAATACACTGGGACCAAAGTCGTGATTTTCAGAATAATCATTAAAAAATAATCAAATGTACTTCAATTTTGTACTCCTGAGAGGACGTACTCTAATACAATTCAACTTGATCAAAACAAGTGAAAATTAATTTAATCTAAAACATTAGTCTTAAAAATTTACTACATAGTCCAGTGTGGTAGCATATACCTATAAAATCAGCAAGCATGTTGAAGACTAAGACAGAAAGACTGCAAGTTCCAGCCAAGCCTCAGCAACTTAACAAGACATGGCTAGACCCTTTGTCAAATAAAAAATAAAAAAAGCCAGGGATTGTAGCTCTGTGTGAAGGCATTGGGGTCAATTCTCAATAGCATAAAAAGGAAAAAAATCATTCAGTATACATTTCTATGGTGTTTTTTTTTTTTTAATGCTATTTCCTGATTTCAAAGTCTTAAAAGCTCTAGATAAAACTATTTTTCAATGTGGTACTTTTATGTAATGGAGTACTACTCAGCTATAAAGAATGATAAACTTGAAGCCTTCATATTTAAGTGGATGCCACTTGAAGATAGACTTATTAGCGAAATAAACCAGACCCACACCTGTAAATATCGTATTGTCTCCCTAGTATAAGGACTTACAATTCCATATATGGTTAGGTTTCTAAATTTCTTTGTAAAAATATATAAATGCTTATTTCTACTTTTATATAATTATTTTTCCTTCATATTCTGTAAGGACTTAAAAGTTCAACATACCAATATTTGATGGAAAATATCTGTTCCATGATATGCCAAAATGTTTGATATTTAGACAGATAGGGTAAATCGAACTGCATATAATGCAGGTTAATAATTAGCTTCTCTTCTGGAGGGTTAACAACCTAAGTTAGCAGTTCAAAATTGGAGAAAAGGAAGGGCTGGAAGGGCTGCAAGGTCAGCCAACATTTTGGCCCTAACCTTTCAAGGTCAGTGAAGACTCAGGACATAGGAGAACCTGTACTCTAACAACATATTATGGAGCCACAGATGAATCTGTTGGATGATGTATAGTGTGCCTGGGGAGAGTCACATGGAGAGAAAAAACATTTTCTCAAGCTTTCACAGAGAGCAAATTGGTCAAGCAATGGCCGTTGACTCATCCTCATGTACTGATTATCAAAACTGTCCTATTAATCAGCTGTGAAACTGTCTCGTTCATATTTATTTCTCAATTTAAAAAAAATTAAAAATAAATAAATACAATTAATTAAAAACTTTTAAAAAATAAAAAGTAAAAACAAACGAACAAACAAAAAACTATTCTTCAAGGGCCAGGGGGGTAGCTCATTAGAATAAGTGCTTCCCTGGCAAGCGCAAGGGCCTGAGTTCAATCTCCAGCTCCGTCAAAAAAAGTTAAAAAAACAGGAAAACTATTCTTCACTCTGATGATTCCCACCTCATTTCCAAAGTATAAATCTCACCTTGAGCACTTTCATTGCCTTTTCCAACTTCTTCTTATTTTTGGAGCTCTTCTTCCCTGTGGCATATTGCACAAGCAAGTCTCTTGCGGTGGGTCTTTCATCCTGAAGAAGAAACTACTCTATAAAACTGAAAACAAGGAAAGTCTGCATAAAAGCAACACATAATCCTTTCAACCACTTTTTTGTTCTGCACTCTTTGCACAAACCTATTAAAACTCAACACTACAACTTTAAGCCTGTGGTGCATGCCTATAGTACTAGTTACTTGACAGGCTGAAGTAGAAGGATCCCAAGTTCAAGGCCAGTCTGATCAGCTCAGCAACTCTATCTCAAAATAAAAAAGAAAATGGGCTGGAGACTGTAACTCAGTGGTAGAGATCTTGCCTAGCAAGCCCTAGGTTTAATCCTTGGTACTGTTTAAAAATAAATGAATAAAACTTTTACAAAGGAAGTAAAAAATATGCACATATATCTGGAAAAATAGGCACATAAAAAATTCTTCACTACAGCATTGATCTTTGAGTTTATATCCTTCTCACTTTTTTTTTCAGTATGATATTCAGCGAGTCACCTTTGCATTTATTGAAAGAAAATGAAAATAAGTTATTAATTGGGGAAAGTTTAAATAAAATAATACATTCATATCCTAAAATATGGAAATTATTCTTTAAGCTCCAAATACACCAGCAGATCTATACATATTGACACAAAAAACTAAGTTGCAGCAGATATTATTCACATAGTTTTCAAAGCCTGTTATATTCTTTTTTTTTAGGGGGGCGCAAAACCAAGGGTTGAACTCAGGCCCTTGTGCGGCAAGCACTTATTTTACTAAGCCATCTCCCTGGCCCCAAGCCTACTACATTCTGAAACTTTATGTACACATATCCATGTATAAATACATAAAAAATGAAATAGTTACCTAGGAGACAGGAACTAGGAAGGAAATAATAATACAAGGTCAAGAAAACACCTATTTTATCTATCTATAGTATCTACAACAAAATGTACAATGAAAATACATTACTTAAAGGATGTTGATCAAATACTGCATATCTAATTACCAATATACTAAAATAAGGGAGTTTTTATAATTTCTTTTTAATATCTCTAAGAAAAATTCGTATCATAAATATTTTTTCTTTCAAAGATGCCATAGCATTGTTCCCTTCCCTTTCCTCACGGTAAAATTCACAGATGTTGACACTAAGCTCAAAAATATATTAGCAGTAATTTTTAGTCTAATTTTATATACAGCAAGTTCCTGAATTATAAACATTCATGTTGTGAACATTCACATATGAACAGACCTCACATCAGGAACCTTCAGAGATTCAAACATATCACAGAAGTAGCTCACGTGTCTGCCAGACAATGTCACTCAGGGCAAGAAGGAAATCTGAGGAACTGTAAAACTCAGAAGCATCTCTGACTATACTAACCTCAGATTCTGAGTCACTATCTTTTTTCTCATCTTCATCTTTCCCAAGGAAAAATGTCAGAGCGGCAACCAATATCTACAGATTAAGCAGAAAACAGTCAGGTACCTAACCAAGGTCATGACAAAGAACAAATACTTTTATTTACACTATATACATCCCTGTGACTAGGATCTGAAGGAAAAAAATTCCAAGATGATAGGATTTTTGTACCTATTTCTTAGTTAAAATATTTTTAGAATGTCATATGTCCCATAAGTATATAACTTAAAAATACGGGGGGAGGGCCTTCAGTGGCAGAGCACATGCTTAGCATACAAAAGATCTTAGTACATACAATCCCCAACACCCCTCAAAAACGAAAAATCAAAACAAAAGAACCATGAAACTATATTGTTCTTCAGGTAGACTGTCAAGAATTCCTGCATTCCCCCAAGATGAGGGGTATCACAACACTTCTAACAGAAAGTCAAACACAGTCTTAAAATTTTAACGTCAAGAATCACAGGAGAAAACAACATAAATGGCTACCACTTATTCTAATGTTCAACAAATGTCCTGGTAATTCTGTTTGTCTCTTCAGCACAGGAGGACCCAAGGAAGCTATCTGACCACATCCACTCCATGACCACACACAGCCCACCCCTATCTGTCCTCCCTCCCAGAAATGGACCTCCAGCACAGTGCTCACCTTAGTAATGCTGGAGAAGCACGCAGTTGTAATAACATTGACAGTTTTGGCATCATTCCTGAAAGATAATAAGCATTTCACAGAAAGTTTTCATGGGCTGGGGAGATGGCTCAGTAGAATAAGCTCTTGCCTGGCAAGCGCAAGGGCCTGAGTTCAATCCCCGGTTCCACCAAAAAAAAAAAAAAAAAAGTTTTCATAATACTGTATTTCACACCACATAATAAACAATGTAATAAATACTAATATTCTAGCATTTTAAAAGTCAGGGGGTGCTAAATTAGTGAACCACAGGTAGAAAATTTAATTAAATTTTAACCTATTTTTATGACAGAAAGTTTGTAAAATAAAGTATTTGAAGAACGTTTAATGATACAAGACCTATTCAAGGAAGGTGGGGGAAAAGAATCAAGGAAAGAACAGCAAAATTCCAAGCACAACAGCAAAATTCCAACCACATAAATGCACATTAAATAAAAAGACCAGGAAGACATCCTTATAAAATACTAACAGTTATCACCTCTGAAGTTGGGATTATATGTAACTAACAAAAAACTTGTCTAGTTTCCCCAAGTACCCTGTTGCAATATTATATAGTTAAAAAAAAAAAAAAGCTGCAATATGCAAAAGATGTGAACTGGGACAATGTATCATAAAAACAAGTCTACAAACCACACACTGAATTGACTGGATGGCAGAACTGGTGCTATAGGCTTCTGAGTAAGATCCAGGAGTGAATTTCAGCCCTGCCCCTTAATAGCTAAATGCTTCCTCTACTAACTTCCATCTCATCTCACCTATAAAATGCAGATAATTCCAGACAAGCTGAGTGTTCTGATGTTGGATGAGGTAAGGTAAAGTGCCTGGTCCTACGAGCTCCTTAAGAGTGGGCAGTCAGTGTCATTAGTCATTTGGATTGCCTCTGTGTTTTTACTTCCAACATAATGTACCAAATAACTATACACCTGTGTTATGTGCTCTGTATTAATTACAAGTGGAAATAACAAGAATCTACTCCTGAGAAGATTAATGAATCTATTACCAGATGTTCCTTCGGTAGAGCTCAATCATCACATCCAAAGACATCTTGGCTGCAGTTGCATTACTGTCTCTCAGCATGGTATACATAAAATTCTGTAGTACCTTAAAAACAGAGAAAGAACGCTTAATGCATCCGTGGTGCTGGTAATAAAGACAAAAAAAAAAAAAAAAACTAAGCATGGAAGATTGTCCCAAGTTCAAGGCTAGCCCAGGCTACATAGCAACTGTCTCAAAACGAAACATATAAGAAAGACAAACTGGTACTT